ACGTCCACAATACTAAAATAAACAAAATGTCACAAACTAAAAATAACATATAAACAATATACAATATCAATTTTAAATGAAGTCTCTAATACTCGTAATATAAAAATAATAATAATTAAATAACATTTTCAATTCGTAGCATTATTGCAATTCCTTATTTAAATCGGAAGTTTGCTACAGACCTTGTAGTTTCGCCATCATCGGCTGATACTATTAGGAATCATTTTTTAGACACGAATTTAATCGCGCTCCCCCCGCGGCGGCCGCGCGGTCGCCGAGCGGAGTTCATGTTGCCGCCGCGCTGCGACCACGTGCGTCTAATTCCTATGGCAAAATACGCTCTATTTATTTAGCTGTTACGTTTTAACTCAAATGAGCGTCTCGGGCGAGTCTGGCTAGAATTTGGTTTACGAGGCGGCCACGTGGCCGCGCTGTTGTATTATTCAGAGGAATTTAAATGTTCTTGCCTAGTAAATACAATTCAGATTCGCCATTAATGTACATGAAGGTGTGGCAACTGGGCGGTTGCCGCGCGGTGGCCGCGCGAAAACTTTCGCCTCGTGTAAAGTAATCTGACATTGTGTAATATATCGATTTTCTTATAATACTGAGTTTCAGAGGTAGAGCTCTTGCAGGTGCATCATCAAAAAGTATCTACATCCTTATAGCACAGCGACAGTGAAATCATTTAAGTCGAAACAATAGCTGCCAGTAAAATGTTAGTGCTTATTTACAATAATATCGCACTGTTAATCGCTATACTGTGAAACAAGAGTGGCCGGAAATTTAGTCGGAAACGAACGCAAACTGAGGCTTTATTGAACTTGTATAGCTAAGTGGCTCTTGCGACAATTTAAATTATGTTAAACAAGTATTAATTTTGTAATACTAAAAATAAATAAAATAAAATAAAATTTAAAAAATAATTTTTTTGCAATACTAACACCCTATGGATCAACGTTGTCCGAAATAAATTCATTTGATTTTTTTTTTTATTACAGCAAAATAAGCAAGCACACAATCCAATGAAGGTTAAATGGTGCAAAATAGTTGGTGCTTGTGATGAATATTTTTTCATGCAATTAATTTTACCACCCTCCCACCATACCTAGGTGCTATTTCACAGTCTAAAAAAGAAAAAAAACACAATAGCAATCTATAAAAAAGGCACAATACCTTACTATTTTTTACAAAAATCCTAATAGTGCAACTGTGAATGTGTAATAACTTAGATAACGAGGAAAAAATTAAAGCTGCTACTGAAAAACAACATACCTACACAGACGAATGAGAAAACTTTTTGTCGGTCTGAAATATAAAAATAATTTCATAATTTATCACCAAAATATATAAGGACTGCTATCTAAGAAAGAACTGATAGAGTTAACGCTATGTGTACCGGTTTTTATGAATATTTCTGTAAAATACATGACATCTGTGTAATGTATTTCACAGAAACATTCATAAAAACCGGTGAAGAGAAAAACATAAATATATACATATATATGTATAACTACGAATTAGCAGCGAATTACTCCAGTGGAAAAAAACGTGGTTGTTTATGCATTATGGTGATCGACTCAAACTTTGTGTGACTATGACTTACTTACTTATATACGTGTAAGTCATAGTCACACAAAGTTTGAATATAAGTACTGTAAGTGTAAGTTGTACAAAATAAATAAATGGTTAGGAAAGGAATTGAAAATAAAATAATTTCTTGTTTTGATGACGTTTGCGTGTATAGGAATTCATTAAAAACAAAAAGACACAAAATATTTTCTTGATATGCTCGATTTATTGTTACCTAAATGTATTAGGGGTTAAAGTATGAAATTGCCGTTTTATTGCAATAGGTTCTTTGAATTTTCATAGAATCTTCATGGTTTGAGGTTTTCGAATGAAACTTTTTTGAAATGGTTTCTGTGATTTTTTATTTTTTTTAAATTTGAAACATTTGAATATCGACTTTCAATTGTTTTTGTTATTCAATTTAGACAA